TCTTTCCTCTCTACTCTTCTTATTCCATCCAAGGTGTCTAAAAGGTTTGAGTCCATTTAGTGTTGTTTTCTATGGGTGATTATAAGGAGCATAGGCGGTACCGTGTTTTGGCTTGAGACCTTTTTAAGCATTCCAATTGCAAGAAACACCACTTACTGAATTGGTTGGAGATCAAAAAACCCTTAAAAGAAGGGGGCTTGGGACTAAGATCAATAGTCAAACTAAACTAGGCACTTATTGGTCAATAGATTTGGAGATATTGGAATGAAAATGACAATTTCTGAAAAATGGTGATAGATTCAAAATGGTATAATGGCAATCCACAAAATCTCTCTTATATTAAAAACAACAACTATGGTTACAGTTTATAGAAGGACATCATCACACTAAGTAATGCGATATTTCAGTGCTCAAAATAGAATATTGGTAATTGGTTCAAGGTCCGTTTCTAGGAAGATTTTTGGTGCGGTTCAGAAAAATTAAAAAATAAATATTCTTTTATTTACGGGATTGCTAAAAACAAAGCTGCCATGGTAAATAATATTGTTGTTCAGTCATTCCTGCCTCCTGGAGTGTCCCAGTGATAAGGAACCTTCAAGATTGGGAACTAGATGATTATCAATGCTTACTTCACTTATTGGCAAACACACAGCTGCATAATCAAAACGATAAATTGCATTGGAAATTAAAAAAGAATGATCTCTTCAGTGTCAGCTCTCTTTACTCTTTTCTGGCCGATCATAACTCTAACAAAAAATATTTTTTCCCCTCAAAAATCATTTAGAAATCGGGTGCCTCTCCAAGAATTGCTTTTTTTCCTGGGAAAGCTTCAAAAGGAAAAATCCTGACAATTGACAATTTGATGAAAAGAGGGCATACTATTGTCAACATGTGTTTCTTATGTAAGATATCTCTTGAATCATGTAATCATCTATTCTTAAAATGTCAAACATCTCATAAATCTGGAGCATGATACTTGGGCTTTTGGGCATATCTTGGGTAATGGCAGATTCTGTTTATTCCGAACTTTTGGCATCAGAAGGTGTGAGTAGTAACAAAGCGCTTAGATTAATCTCACCATTTTCTGGGTTATTTGGAAGGAGAGAAACAACAGAGCTTTTGAGGGGCTTGAACAAGATTTTAATAGCGTCAAAGATAAATGGTTTCGTTATTTTGGCTCTACTGTTTTAGAGCATAATATAGAATGTTTTAAGATCTTAGTTTTATTGTAAATATGTTAATTGACATGTAAATTTTTTGTAAATGGGTGGTATTCTCTTAGCACCTCACATTAATACATCTTCTCTTCTTTTATTTCAAAAATAAAAAGGCATTAGGAAGGCTGGGGATTAGATCTTTACAGGCAGCAAATAAATATCACCTAGCTAAGTGGCTATGGAATTCATGTCTAAAAAGGCTTATGGAGGGAGGTGATTACGGCTAAGTAGCCCCATGGAAGTGGATCAACAGGGTGGTGGGTTTAATTCTTTGATATTGTGCATTCCAGAGTTGGGGAGAGGCAAATGGTCGGTCTGTCGAGTACCACCAGAATAACAGGAAGAGTAACACAACAAATTAAAATTCAGTTGTGTTGTTTATTATTGGTAGTATCAGGACAACACTAGAATGATGTAGGGTAGGCTGGTGACAGCTATCTTTCATGCTAAAGCTGTCATTGCTGCCAGCTAATGATAAGTCATTAAACCCCATATATGATTGTACAATATAATTAAAAAGGAATAGAATTATTAGATTATTTGCTATGTTCTCTCTACTTCCTTTATCTTTCTTTTTCTCTCATGCTGTCCTAACATCACATCTTCTGGTATCTTGCAATTCTCATATCTACTTTCTATCCATATCTTCTTAACCTAAATAGCCTCTAGAGATCATCTAATGAGTCAGTATCCTGACAGGTTTTTGGCCTGACTGTTGGTGTGGGCCAACTCCTTAGAAAGAGAAATTCCTGAGACTTTTTGAAATTGCTAGAGATAGATATGCTTCAATTGGGGGTTCAATGATTCATCCTTTTCATTCTTGAAATATTTCCTTTGTCCTGCAACTTGAATGATTGGGAGATTGCTGGCTCGGCCTCCTTATTGCTTGTGTTATCTGGCACTGAGATCAACTAGGATATATGTCAGATAGGCCTCTCTTGCCTGTTATAAAGAATGGAGCATTTTCTTTTCAACGTTGGAACTACCTCAATCAGTTGGAAGTTGCTTTCAGATTACTTGGAAAAATATTTGGAAGAAGAAAGACACTTCTTGCATAGTCTTATTTGCTAGAGAGGCTGCTTAGGGTAGAATTCTCACTTTTGGCAATCTTAGAAAGCACGGGAGAATCCATGGGTGTCTGTTGTACTCTCAGGAGAATGAATCTCCTAATTATCTACTTTTCTGGTGTAGGCTAAAAGGTTATGGGACTCTGTTCGTGAGCCTCTTAAATGTACCTTGGGTGGTTAGTGGCTTGGTGGTGGAGGAATTATGGGCTTGGGAAGGCATTGCTGTCAGCAACCAAAAGAATAACCTCATCTCCCTCATCCCGTTGGCTATCATGTGGGTGATTTGGAAGGAAAGACCAACGGATTTTTTAATGGCACTGCTTCTTTTACTAGGATTGGAGATCATTGGTTCCAGACCTTGAGTTTTTCATGTATAGGTCACTCCATCCTGTTTGAGGAGGATCTTGGAGCCTTTATTGATATTTTGTATTCCTCGCATTAATTTTATTTCTTTGTATAGGGTTGGCACTCCCTTGGTGGCTTTTAATACATCTTTTTTTCTCTCTCTCAAATTTTACATTTAAATAATCTCCATGAAAGTCCCCTTACTATTTTGTGGGTTATCTGGAAGGAAAGAAACAAGGCTTTTGAGGGTGTCGAGTTTGATTTTAACAAGATTAAGGATAACTAGTTTCACTATTTTGGCTCAAATTTATTAGAGCATAACCTTGATTGTTTTGAAAATTTAGGAGACATTGTAGATATGCTAATTGAGATATAACTTTTGTACATGGACGGTGCTCCCTTAGCACCTTATATCAATACAGCTTTATACTTTTATTTCAAAAAAAAAAATTTCCATGAAAGTCAGAATGAGAAGCCAAAAGTCAACGAAGTGCTTGATACAAAATAAGTTTTGTATGGTATCACTTGGACTACTTCTTGACATACAGATTTTCACTACATAATTTTCAGGACCAAAAATCTATTTGTTAGTGTTGGAAAGTTTCAACCATTTCATTAGTGTTTTATGATTTTAATGATTTAACATGGATGTGGTTGTATTTCTTATTTGAACTCTTAAAGAAAACCATGTGAGAGCAACTCCATGTGCATCACATACACGTGCCTGCCGGTGCATACATGCATTTATTTGTCATATTGTTGCACCATGTTGCTATTCTGGTTGTTACTAGCTGCCAGCTATCTTTAATATTCTCAAATTGGAAAATACGTACATCATCATCAGATGATAATCATGCTTCTTTTACTTATGTGAGTATATTGCAGGTTTCATCCATCCTGCATGGGTATGACCATTGAAGAAGCAAAAAAGTTGGATCACTTTTTATGTTCTGACTGTTCATCAGATGATGATGCCAAAAGATCTTTGAACGCTTTCCCAGTATCACCATCAGTTGAAGCTAAGGTGAGAGAATATGATTTTCTTATTTGATTCCTCTTACATGGAAGGTACTGCAAAAGTTTCTGGAATATTTTTTTATATGGATGATCTGGCAGAATGTTGGATTGTATACAATAGTGTGTATGCTGTTACACTTTATAGTGTTGGAAATTTTATAAGGGTGATTTCCAAAATCTCAAATCCTGAGAGAAAGGGTTTCATCACTTGAAAATCTGTCCGTTACGATTCTTCAAGATAGACCAAAAGGGGAATGAGAAGTTGGTTTTTAATTCTAATCTCTACCTTTACGCTGTACCAGAAGGGTGGCATGTGTTGAGAGCATGAGTTTCATGATATTTATATTCTTCTTCCTGTGAAGTAGAAATGAAAAATATTTAAGAATGATTTTATTAGTTTCACGAATGTGCTATATAAACCTTATTTGTTGTTAGGTTATAGATACTACAAAAATATAAACATGTTTATATTTACAAATTATAGCAAATTTATTAGCATCAAAGATAAGAATATATTTATCCCTTTACCCTGCAAGCTACGTGACGTAGCACGTAAGATTGGACTTTTTAAGTAATTGAACTTTTTAGAAGAAAGCATCTTGGTGGAAATGTTGTTAGCTAATTGATATTGATTGCAACATGTTGTACTACTAATTGTCCTGTCTGTGTTTTCTTTAAATTAGTGAATATCCAATTCAATATGTTTCGAACAAACATGATTAACCGGATTAGAAGCCATATAAGTAGTGTTGACATTGTCACAAAATGAGATAGGAGATGTGAAGCAAAATAAAGCTCCTGAAGCATGTTTTGTAACTATGATATGGTAGAAACTGTTGCAGCAACAGTATAATATTTGACCTCAGCACCAGAAAGAGAAACTACAGTCTGCTTTTTCAAGCACCACGAGATTAAATTAGTGCCAAGAAAAATGCAATATCCTGTGGCAGATCCATTGGTCTCAGGGCATTCCCCTCAGTCTACATCTGAGTATCCTACTAAACGCATAGGAGAGTCTATTTGAAAAAAATGTAAAATGTTTTAAAAAGAAAGGCATAGAAGAGTCGAAATAAGTTGAAGGCCATATATAGACTACCTTGTATGCAGCATAATATACGTTTTGCAGCTTGAAAATTGTTGTGATGATGTTCATGTTTGCGCTAGCAGGTTGATTGACAGCAAAGGAAATCTCGGGGCTATTCAATATAAGATATTGCAAAGCTCCAACAATATTGTGATATGAAATAACATCTGAGAGTAGAAAATAGATACTTCACCAATCTGACAATTGGATTGGACAGGATTGTATAGGTGCTTCCGTCCTCCATACCATGAGGATTCTTGCCAATAAAAAAAGAGGCCTCTTTATTGTGATAAACTTGGATAGCCAATAAATAACAAAGAATACCAATTAATCATTAGAACTCATTTTCAGGTTGACAAGAAGAGACTGTTACAAATCACTGAACAGTGAGAATAATATCATTAGCTTTTGTAAGAGTTCATTTTGCAGGAATTGTGAGCAGGGATTTTAGTTTGAGCAACGAGTTTCATTTTTTTTTCACAGAAATCAGTACTAAGAGTTTTCAGTTTAGAAACTTTAACTTGTGAATTTGGACTTATAGTGATGATTGGGGATGATGAATAATTCAGCGATGGAAGAGATCTTGGAATTGACAGGTGAATCTATGGCAGCAGCTGATAATGAAGGAGAATAGCAACCAAATTCTTGGTAGAATAAAAATCCTGCTTAGGGAAAACTTGTCGAGAAAAAATAATTTTTTGTATGTCAACAACGAAGCATCAATGACTACTGTATTTATTTACAATCTAGGAAGATAAGTTTAGATGACATGTACAATCAAACACTCGCCTATATGTAGGCTACTTGTCATAAAGAAGCTCAAACGGAGTCAAATTCTGGATAGAAGAGAAAAGAAGCTTCTTAATAAGATGAATGACAATTTTAAGAGTTTCTACTCAAGAAATGATTGCATAAATGCTTGACGAAGTAGCATGCAGATCATATTGATAATGGTTCTATGCATACATGCAGTTATACCATCTTATTATGGAGTACAAGGACATGATAGTCTTATGTGCATGCTGTTTCGAGCTGGTTTGAGTTTCACGAAACCTATCGAACATGACCCGTTGCAATCCCTAGAAAAGATGAAAGAATGAAGGAAAAAGGAGGATCCAACTATAGTGTAGGATAGGAAGAAGAGAGACTCATGTTTGCAGGAAAAGAAACAAAAAGAAAATGGGGAAAAAGATATTGAGAAGAGAAAAGGAATACATGGTTGGAGCTGATGGAGAAGAAATGTTGGAGAAGACAGCTTTGTTGAACTCAGACTTGCTGCAAATTTACTGCAGCAGCAAGGAAAAATATGGCAGACAAGAAATGAATGCAGCAGAAAAATAAAAATATTAATCAAAACATATAATGGGTATGAACTGCTACTGGAATTTTAGGTGCAGTGGGATGATATATTCAGCAACCAGAAATGCCTTTTAAATAGGCTTTACAACTCAATTAAAAACAGAAAAAATAGCAGAGTAATCTGCCACTAACTCAAATTCTTTCACTACTAACAAAACATCATAAATTTTAGGAGATAAATCGAAAACTCAGTTAAATATCCAGTTGTCAATATTGAATCAGTCTTCAATACTCCCCCTTGATTCAAAGTTGCAAACACCAAGCAAATTTCTGAAGTAGACATGCTTGTCACGTGGTAGAGATTTTGTAAAAATATTAGCTACCTGCTCATTGATATTGTAATACTGTAATTTAATTAACCCATTTGCCACAAGATCATGGATGAAGTGAACTCGAATATCAAAATGCAACTTTTCATTCAAATTCATTGGTGTTGGTGCAAATTTACAATTAAACATGCTGAATTTTTTAAGTAAGTCAGTTGCATATTTTCTTTGTGACACAAAAACTCCATCTTCGATTTGCTTCATCTCTAACCCAAGAAAATAATTCAGCAAACCCAAATCTGGCATCTCAAATTTCCTTTTCATGCACAACTTGAACTCATAAATAAGAGAAGAAGATGAACCCATATATATTATGTCATCAACATAAAGGCAAACAATGAGGGAATCATTTTTACCTTGTGTTTTAAAGTAAAGAGTGGGTTCATTCTTACTTTTCTCAAAGCTATTCTCCAAAAAATATGAGTCAATTTTGTTAGACCATGCCCGCGGAACCTGCTTTAAGCCGTAAAGAGTCTTCTTTAACTTATACACTTGCTTCTCTTGCCCACGAACTACAAAACCTTCAGGTTGAGAGACATACACTTCCTTATCCAGCTCTCCATTTGAGAACGCTGACTTGACATCAAATTGGTAAATAGGCCAATTTAATTGAGCAACTAAAGCTATTAAAATTCTCACCGTCTCAAACCGAGCAACCGGAGAAAATGTGTCATCATAATCCACACCTTACTGTTGCGCATAGCCTTTCACCACAAGTCGTGCCTTGTGTTTTTGTATGCTGTCATCTGCTTGAAATTCTGTTCTGAACACCCATTTCACTCCAATAGCTTTCTTGTCTTTCGGTAGATCCACCAAATCCCATGTTTCATTCCTGCAAATTGCTTCAAGTTCTTCCATCATTGCATGACGTCATTCTTCCTTCTCAGCTGCTTCTTCAAATGTTAGTGGATCAGCTACAAATAAGGCTTGTGTAGCCTCATAAATTTCAGCCAATGACCTGAATTTTCTTGGAGGAGTATCATTATCGGATGAACTTTTACTACTGGAACTTGAAGAAGTGGAGCTTGATGGAGTTGAAGAAGGTGACGTGGAAGTATTTAAGGAGTTGATTGCTGTCCATTAGTTGGTGGAGCTTCATTTTCAAGTGGAACTTCAAACTGAATGTTATCTGATTTTTTTTCCGAACTCCAGCTTGCATCTTCATCAAATACAACATTCCTGCTAATAATTATCTTGCCACTCATAGAGTTACAGAGCCTATATGCTTTAGATTGAGAGCAACAACCAACAAAGATACATTCCACAGATTTTTCATCAAGTTTGCTGCGATTCTGTGAATCTATCAAGGAATTGGCAATATAACCAAAGATTTTTAAGTGGCTTACCTAAGGTCTCCTACCACTCCAAGCTTCATATGGTGTTTGGTTGAGAACAGCCCTTGTAGGAGATAAATTCAATAGATAGACAGCAACATCAACACTTTCAGACGAAAATTGATCAGGCAGCCCCTTTGCTTTCAACAAGCTTCTTGCCATTTCAACAACCTTTCGGTTTTTACGTTCAGCCACTCCATTTTGTTCCGGTGTATGTGGTGTTGTCAATTCTCTGTGCAAGCCTTGTTCTTCACAAAATTGATTGAATTCATTAGATAGAAACTCCCTTCCTCTATCAATATGCAATGTCTTTATGCTTCTTCCACTTTGCTTCTCAATGAATGCCTTGAACTTCTTAAAGATCTCAAACGTTTCAGATTTGAATTGGAGGAAGCAGACCCAACTCATACAGCTGTAATCATCTGTAAACAACAAAAAATACCAACTTCCACCCAAATCAACATGTACAAGTTCAAGACACTCATATGACCTTCGAGACTTTCCTACAGGAAATGGTTTTTTACATTATTTCCCATAAATGCACCCTTCACACAAATTGAAGGACTCAATTTTAGGCAGCCCAAACATCATTTCCTTTTGATTCAATAATTGTAGACCTTTTACATTCAAATGCCCATATCATAATTGCCACAATTTTGACTCTATTTTCTTTGACAACAAGAGCATGGTTTTCAACACTAGAAACTTCAAATGGGAAAAGTTTATTAGGTGTCATTTGAACATCAGCAATAATTTGATCAGATTTTTTCCCTAATCACACAAGACACATCATCAAACATGATAGAATACCCACTGGCCATAAGCTGCCCAATGCTAAAAAGATTTTGTGATAAAGCAGGAATAAAATAGACATTGTGAAGGAGTTTTGTGTTACCATGACCATTGCTTAATGCCACCGTGCCTTTGCCCTCAACTTGCATTTGTTGATCATCACCAAGTCTTACTTTCACCTTGCATGACTCATCCAGCTCCTTGAATAGAGATTTGATCCCGGTCATATGGTTGGAACAGCCGCTGTCCAGAAACCATATGCCACTTGAAGCTTTGGTGCCATCTTGATAGGCCATGAATAGCTTAATCTCCTCCTCATCTTCAACATAATTTGCTTGCTTTTCCCTTTTCCAGCAGTCTGCCTTTACATACCCGTATTGCTTGCAATAATAACACTGAATATTACTTTTGTAATTTTTTTGTTTTCCAATCATCTCCCTTTGTTTATCTTCTCCAGCAATTCTGCCTCTACTTCAATTACCTCTACCTCGATAACCTCCTCTACCATGTCCCCTTCTTGTTGCCTTCCATGAATCATCTTGCTGTTTGGGAGACTCCCCCATCACTTGAAAAGCCTTCTCTTCAGTCTTTTCATTCACCCAATTCAATCTTGCCTCATGGGATTGCAAAAAACTCATCAGCTCGTCAAATGAGTAAGTAATCAAATCCTTAGACTCCTACATGGCTGCAACAACATGATCAAACCTTAGAGTTAAACTCCTTAACACTTTTGCAACAGTGGTTTGATCATAAATCTCTTCCCCGTAAAATCTCATTTGATTAATAACCGCTGCAACTCGTAAAAAAAATTCTTGTACCGATTCACCGGTTTTCATTTGCAACATCTCAAAGTCACGATGGAGAGATTGAAGTTTTACCATGATTACCTTCGAGGAGCCTTGGTATGCTGTTTGCAAAGTCGTCCATGCTTCTTTGGCTGTTCTTGCTGCTGCAATTTTAGAAAAAATAGATTTATGCAAAGCTTGCTGGATAAAAAATAGTGCTTTGGAATCCCTTTTTTTATTTTCTCTTAACCTGCCTTCTTCATCCGGATTAGGATACTCATTCTCAACCAAGTCCCATAAATCTTGAGACTTGAATAATGTCTTCATTTTGATGCTCCAAAATTCATAACTTTCACCATGAAATATAGGAATTGCTGGTTGAGATGCACACCCAATTACAACCGAACTTTGCTCTAATACCACTTATGTTGGAGAAGAGAGCTTTGTTGAATTCAGACTTGCTGCAAATTTACTGCAGCAGCAAGAAAAAATATAGCAGACAAGAAATGAATGCAGCAGAAAAATAAAAATATTAATCAAAACATTTAATGGGTATGAACTGCTACTGGAATTTTACGTGCAGTGGGATGATATATTCAGCAACCAGAAATGTCTTTTAAATAAGCTTTACAACTCAACTAAAAACAGAAAAAATACCAGAGTAATCTGCCACTAACTCAAATTCTATCATTACTAACAAAACATTAGAAATTTTAGGAGATAAATCCAAAACTCAGTCAAATATCCAGCTGTCAATATTGAATCAGTCTTCGATAAGAAAATCCTTTTCCAAAACAAGTGGTAGAAGAAACAAAAACGTGGCCTTGAGATCTTCACCTTCAACCATTCAATATCCTGAAGCTCAAGATTAGGGTTAAGAGAGTAGGCAATACAGATGGTAGGCATGTTGCAATACAAAGAGGAGAGCTGAAGATGGGCAATGACTGCGCATTGTACAAAGGGGAGAGGGAGTTGCGACTTTTAGAGTAAGATCTGGATAATGCCTGAGATCACAATAAACATGGATGACACAGATGAGTGTTGATCAAGAGAAGAGATAGAGATAATATGGATCAACAGAGGAAACAAAGGTAAGCCTTCAGGAGCTGCTATGCTAGGGCAGCAATGCAACCAATGTTTGCTGCTGCTAGAGAGAAGAGTAGCTTAGGTCTGAGGAGGCAATAGCGTGGCATGACTGTGCTCGGATGAAACATGACTACAAGATAGATAGAGAATGAGCATAGAACTTGAGGTCAAAAGGCACAGAAGAAATTTGGATTTTTTCTTTTGGGTGTCTAGTAGCTTTGATACCATAAACAGATATGAAGAAATATTTAAGGGTGGTTTTATTAATCACATGAATGTGATATTTATAACTTTATATGGCATTAGGTTTTATAAATGACACAGAAAAAGTATGAGAGTAGCGATTTGCACTTTATTAATAGATTAAATATACGAATATATTTATCTCTTTTTTATTAAAAAAAATTAAATAGACATAAGAATATTTTTATCCTTTACCCATCAGTTGAGTAGCTAGTCTTTGTATTGGCAAAGAAATTTCACTGAAGGCACCTAGGTGGTACAACGGATGTACTGAACATATTTACAAATCAAAATGTCTAAAAAGTCCTCTAAGTCATTTCCACCATTTAGAAGTAGCCTTTGAACTGCATATATAAGGTTTAGAATTAGTGAACTCCAACCCTATCAAAAGTAGAGCAAATGCCCTCAAAAGCACTCCTTTTTTTTTTGTACTACTCACAAAATGGCTAAAGGGGCAACGGACATGGGTGCTATGGGATTTACAAGTCCTAATTCTTTCTTTTCTTTTGAAATAAAAAATAAAAAATATTAGAGGCATCAAGGGATGCAACTCATATATAAAAATATTACATGTCAGTCAAAATATCAATCAGGTCCTCAAAATCTTCCCGAGAATAAAGAGAGTGACCCTAAAATATTTACTACCTTAAGTTCTTTCCCATGCATTTAATTTAGCTAAATTTGAGCCAATAACCCAAGTCACATTCAGAAGGTTTTAGGTCCGAATCCTAGACTAATCTAGCTTCAGGATGCCAAAGAAATAGGCGATTAGGGGATTACTCTCTTTGATGCAAAGAAGACAACCATTGACAAGGATGCGAACTCTCTTCATCAAGCGGTCAAGGGTGATGGTTCTTCCCCACAAGGCTTCCCAAGTAAAAGAAGAAAGCAACACAATGTGAGGCCGTTCTCTTCCAGAACCTGCTCCCAAGGGAAGCTGTTCATACTGTACCTGGACTCAAGAACTAGAGATGATGGTTCATGAAAAATAGTCAATTCTTAGTAAGCTTTCACACTGGATTATCTCTGCTCCTGCAATGCAATATGCAAAAAAAAGGAAGGCCAAAGAAGAGGTGAGGTCCTCCAACTCCCAATCACTGAGATTGGGAGATAAGATAATGTTCTAAACTATTACACTATTGTGCTTCACAACAAACTCCCACACCCTAACTTCTTTGAATCTGACAATTTTGGATCTACTTGGAAATTGGAATTTCAAAGGGTGATCTCTATCCAAAACCTTACTGGACACCAGTCTCCCAAACTGATCTGAATGTGTCAATCATGTCATCCCAACCGTTCCTGATGCAGTTTCATAGACTAGAGCAATGAGCTTCTCTAGTAAACCTTGACATCCAACCATCTTCATGAATACCATATTTGGACTGGACCAGGTTCCTCCATTTTCAGCTCCACATGCTGGTGATCTCCTTAGTAATTTGGCAAGCAAAGCTTTTTAAGACACTGAGGCACCAACCAAGGGATTGCATTATAAGTTTTTAGAAATAAGGTTATAACTTCTCTGCTCCTCAGAATCTTCCTACCAAGACATATGAATTGGACGACTTTGATATGGTGTCCTTCTACAAATATTTCCTAAGCGTCCCACAACCTTGCCTACCACCTAGCATAAATTTAGTGATAAGGCAAGCAACTGATAGTTTTTTCTTTAACAATTTGACGTTAATGCTCTGTCCATTTTATGAATAGAAGTGAGGTATGACATCTATCCATAAGAAGATTTACATTATATTAATACACATTTTAATGAGCATACAAAGACTGACTTTGTATCAGATTGCTGCTGCTGATTTCTTATTTTAAGCTATCATACAGGTGAGCAGCAATTTTAGTTTCATTTTTCATTAGTATCATATAACAATCCAAAGTACAATATTTGTAACAATGAAGTGTCCTGAACTGTTGAAAACATCAAGCTAGCAATATGCATAGACTTCATTTTATATGTTTTTAACCTTTAGTTTTGTCTAAGAACCTTTTGATGAAGAATTATTTTAAAATTCTGGCGGTTAAAAGAACTATTCCGCTGAAGTTTGATACCGTGTACTTAGGCTTCTGGTTCTATCTGTTCCATACTTCTGAAAAGCCTGGGGTCTGTAGAGCCAAGCTGGTGGTCAATATCAGTGCTTGAAGTGGCAGTCTTGATGCCATAGATTTAAATGTTGTGTAAGTTTTAGATAATGCTGACACTAATGAGAAAATTACTGGTTTCTATATGAATGGTTACTTTGGGTTAGCCTGTAATATGGCTGGTATTTTTATGTGAAAACAAGGTCCCGGGAAAAGACTGAACTTGTTTTCAGTGAATCTTCAATACAAGTTAGAACTAAAACATTTTGGCTATTACTAAAAGGAAATTGGTTTATCTTACATGCTGTATCAAGCACAGTAGGATAGTTTCCTCACTTGATTGTCTGTACTAACTTTTACGTCAAAGTTACAAACAAACGTTTGGAATGTTTTAAAAGAAATATTATTCCTCTACTTCACGTTATATGATCGTTCAAGTCTACGACATGGCAGTAAAGACTATTCTTTTTATAAAAGTGTTTGTGAGCTAAAATTTATAATTCTTGGGTTCAGGACTGGTCTGTTATTTTATTATTCTCTTTTAACATGATTTTGTTTCTGATCTTGTGCTAGGTGGAAACAAAACGCAGGAAGAGATGATCTGAATGGTCGGTTCCTAATGAGGAGGTACTCATTTTCTTGCACATTAGATATGGTATTGTTGTTTCCGTTGTGTTGTGGAATTGTACAGTGCAGAGAAGATACTGTGCTTGCACAAACAAGAGGCTTTACATAATTTATCTTATCCAGTGTGTGTGGACTTTGGAGGTGACTCAGTTTTCTATGGTGTCTTCAAGTATAATATGTGCAAAAAGAAAAAAAAAGAATGCAATTATCTTAAGCTGTGAACTCTTAACAATACATTGGACTAAAATTTTAGGGGAAGAGTTTTTTTCTTCTTAGTTTCTGCAGTTTACGTCATTAATACTTCTGGCTTTCAACCTCTTGCTGTTGGGTTGCAGGCTGGGAGGTGTGATTGTGATGACATCTTTTTTCTTTTAATTATTTATTTTGCCCTAAACTATTTTATAATGGGTACATGTAGATATGATCTCACATTTCTATTAATAGTTTATTAAAAATCTTACTCCATTAATTTTATTGATTAACTCAGATTCTGTGAACTTATTAATAAAATGTGATACCATATTAATATGTACCCGTAATAATTGGTCTTGGCTGTGTTTGAACATAAGGTAATCTATCGTCCCAGAATATTCTATATTCCCCTTGGCAATTGAAATTGTTGCATGGATCAGTTTCTTGATTCATTGATAAGATAAGCTACCTAGTATGCCTTTGGTTTCACCTGGATACCCAGTTGGTCCATTGATTGATCCAACATTCTTTTGGTCCTTCTGGTGAACCTTTCTTTTGCCCTGTCAACGTTCAAACTATGCTCCTGGTGGAGCAGAATTTAGCAGTGGCTCAATCAATTTGAAGACCGATAAATTTTCAAGGTTTTCAAAGGTATTACTTCTGCTAGTGAAAGATGAAAATGTGAGTTTCAGCCTTTCAGGCTTGATATGTACTGAGTGTGTACTGCAAATATGGGGTTTAGTTAGAGTTTCATTTTTGCACAGGCATATCTGATAGTATTTCAAGCATCAGGAAAAGTTACACTGACTTGTATTGTACTTGTCATTACTATTTTGGGATACTTAATAGAAAGACCAAGTATTTTCTTTCCTATCTCATTTTACCCTAAAAAGTAATATATATATATATAATACGACTGCATACTGTTGATTCTATCAATTCATATTTGGTTCAATAATATCCCTACTATAAGCTTGTTAGAATTAGAATTTCCTTTTCTAGTATTAATATGTAATAGCTAAAACTTTGGTGCTTACAATTTTTTCTTGCAATTTCTGTTGCTTTAGCAAATTGAGAAATTTTCACTTCCTCCCTACCAACCCTTTGGTTCCTGTTCCAATAATAAGGACATCAATTATTGTACCAGGAAACGTCATAGATAAGGGATTGCAAGTTCTAAATTGAATCAATTGATATGATCCGTTATTATGGATATCTCAGAAAATGTATGCAATAAAATGATAGAAGAATTGAAATGAAAACAAAACTAGTCTGTTTTATTTGATGTTAATTTCTGGTGTGAACTTAAAATGGGTTTGCTTTTCATTATTGGTAATTTCATTTGACAGGTTCGTAGGCTAAAATACAAAGGAGCAATGTTGTTTGATCAGAATTTTTTTTATCTTTTTGATCCAGTGAACCTTCCCTACCCGGCTATTGTAGTTTACTTGGAACTGCTCAAAAAGAGTCTTTTTCTTTGGCGAAAAGAGGAAACTAATGGACGGAAGAAGAAGCTCATTTCATTTTCATTTCCCTTTGATGAGTTCGGACCTCCACACCCGTCACGGAAATTGTACCTACAAGTCACAGGCCCCCTTCCCCTTCTCCCTTTTTGGTTAACTTAACCAGTCAAATCAAAATCAATGCTTACAGTTTATATAAAATATATAGATTTTTTTTAGAAGAAAAAAAAATATATATATATAATTGGAAGAGTCCGGGTTCAAATTTTAGCAATTATATCTGCGTTTACTACACATAAAAAGAATATAATAATTGTAAGGATCTTTAACTTTACCAAAGAAAATTACATTCTTAAAGTTGATAATATGCCCAATTATTGAAATAGTAGTAGATTTTTAGTAATCATGTTTAAAAAAAAAAAAAAAAAAACTACTGTTCCGTAAATATTTTTTTTGGGTTTTTATTTTTATTTTTCCAACAAAAAAAATATTCATTTTGGCAAAATGCATAATTACAAAAATTATGGAAGGTGGTGGTTTTAGTACCAAATTGGACGGTAACATGGTGGGAGACTTTTTTCCATATTCCTGCCCCCCACTATCTCACCCGCCCCCATTTATGAGGTAAAATAATAATTGTATGTAACAATAATTTTAATTTTAAATTTTATGTGAATTTCAAACTCGTAACATTTAATTAAAACACTCGTAATATCATAATCAATAATTTTAAAAAATAAGAATTTTAATTTTATTTATTGGTAACTTTTTTATTTATATTTATTTTTACCATAAATTTTTATCGATTTAATTTCGTTGTAAATAAAATAACAAATAATAATAATAACAACAACCCTTCCCCATTTTCATCCCTAGTAATAATATAAAATAGGATTGGATTAGTAGCACAAATTTCATGGAAATTTAGAAAAAGTTGATCATTTTATTAATTATTATTTAATTGTATTAAACAATAATATTAGATGTTGTAGCTTTTTTAGAGAGAGATAAGTGTCCAAGTGTGCTGTACCACTTTTTAGGTTTCTAACATGATTGGGCACATGAACACTTTCATAGGGTCCCCTTTGAGTAACATGAAATTCAACTAAGGAGGCTTCAAGCTTTTGATAACGACATGTTTATATAAGCATAATCATATTTTCAAATATATCCATATATATATATATATATATATATATCAAGGGAGACATTTGTATTGTATAAGGCTGTGTTTATACGACTAATTGATATTTCATAATTTCACGTACAATCATTCTACTAGAAATTATGGTACCGTAAATTTTTTTATTTAAAATTTTTGAAAATTTAAATTTAAATTAAATATTGTGTCAAATAATTGACTTTTTTTTTAGTGTATGATTTAAATTTAAAATGTAAGTATATGTGAACATGGATTTGTATAATCACATGTGATCAATGCATTTTTATTATATGATTAGGGAATTTTTTTAACTTAAAAAAGAGATTAATATTAAATAACTTTAGCTTCATCTAATAATTATATAATTAACTAATTAATTAAATGGGAGTTAGAATAATAAAAATAGAAAAACAAACAAAAAAGGAAACTGGAAATAGTTAAATCGCAAGAGGAAGGAAATGGAAATAAAAAATAAATAAGAAAAATAGAAATTAAATTAAATTCAATAAAAAATCATTTTCCTAATTAATAACATACATAATTTAAATTTTTTAATTAATTTTTATTCTTTATATACATAAACAAAATATTTTGAAATTTAAATTAATCAACTCACGTTAAATATATAAAAATATAATTGATGCATTTTACTAAATATAATATAGTTTATATTAGAAATTAAATATATATAAATATTTGCACTTGGACAACGACCCATTTTTATTTTAGTAAATTATTTTTCTGAATGTATATATTTTAATTGGGTCAACAAAGGCTGACGGAATAAGATGGTTGCATGATGTGGATAAGAAATATTTTATTTCGAAAAATAATAAATGAAAATATTTTCCTCTTTTTAATTCCTAATATTAATCTATTTACAGTTGATATACGTGTGTAATAATTATATTTTTGTATTTGTGTTAAATATTTTCACCCTCTTATTTTTTTTATTATGTCATCTAAAATTATATATATTCTAATTTTTCCAATCAATATTTCACATTTTTTTAATTATTTATCAACCAGACAAAATAGGCTTATTTAATGTATATTAAAAATTAATTTAATTGCCAAATATATTTCTTACAAAATAATTAAATCGTAATTCCTGACTTATCCATGCTTGATTTAATCTTTAATCAAAACGACAAGAATTCGAGTGCTGATTTTACCTGCATGAATGTATACGGCCGTCGGCCGTACAAGATCGAATAGTCAATATTGGAAAATTTCAAAAGTTCTACAAGTAGCAGCCAACTCTAAGAATACATATATATATATATATATGTGTGTGTGTGTGTGTGTGTAAGACTTTTCCACTTTTTTCTATGTATGAAAGGTAACTCCGAATACATAAGTTATTATAAATTATAATTTATAATTAATCATGTGAGATTATATCATTAATTAAATTACTATAAATTCTAATTATATCATTGACAATTTATAATGTGAGAGAAATAGGATAACTGAAACTTCATTTATTTTTCTTATAAAGTAATTTATAAGTTTATATTTAGTTAATCAAAGAAAAAAGTAAAATTTTTCAGTAAATAATAAAAGCTTAACTTACGTGAAAAATTTATTCGAAATTAAAAAAAATCCACACTAAATTATTTATCAAATTTAGAACTTTAAATGCATTTTTTATAATAACTGGATGTATAAAAAAAAAGGAAACACATAAAAATATAGAAGAGGGGGGGAGAGAGTGAGAGGGGACGGTTTAAATTAAGGGAAAGGAATGGAATGATTTATCAGACTGGGTCTAAATAGTATGAGGAAAGGAAGGGAAAAAAGGAGAAAAAATAGAAAAAGAAAGGGAGAATAGAGGATAAGAGGCAGTCGATCAAGGAATAGAGAGAGAGCCGAGAGGGAAAAGACGATTAAGGTGATTGAGAGAATTGTTGTTGTGTTGAGGACGATGGAGGCAAGAGGTATTATAAATTTGAATATCAAACACTGAAAATGATAATTTGTAGTTAGATTCTACAATGTGATGAGTACTTGTGTGGTAAAACCTATAAGAGAGAGAGCGGGCTAACAGAGAGGATAGGGAGCCGTGAAATCTTAGGAGAGTCGATGAGGAAGGAAATCAAGAGGATGAAGTATGATAGGTGAAATGATGAGGAACTTGAGCGGGAGGGATAAACGGAAATGAGACCGAAAAGGTATATATATATATGTCGGTATACGTATATGCACGAGAATATCACCAAAGAGATAAACAAATTCGAAAATGTAGGATTTAGGCAAGGAGGTTATACGAGTATACGTTAGAATGGTGCTTGATAGTCAC